TGTGTGTGTGTGTGTGTGTGTGTGTACCGGTGTGTGTCAGCATGTGTCTCTGCAGCGAGCTGGCCCAGGGGAACACTCGGGGGCAGAAGGGGCAGGTCATCTTCTGGACGGAGTTGGAGTAGGCGTTTTTCTTCCCTTTGGATGCCTTCACCTCCTCCTTCCCTCCTCCGTCCTTCTCCTCCCCTTCTCCGTCAACATCTGTTCAATCAAACCTCAGTTTATCATCTACCTGTAACTTTCATGTCACGTCTTGACAGCGTCTCGTCCGTCACCCCTCCTACCTCTCTTTCCGCCCAGGTCTGCGGTGCCAGTCTGGAGATAGGTGCTGAACTTGTTAGTGTCGGTGGTGGCGAGCATCTTCTCTACGCTGGCAAACTCTCCGCTGGACTCCAGGTCGATGCCACTGCCGCTGGCAGCCATCTTCTCTTTCAATGCCAGAGCTGCCAGTTTTTTGCGGGACCGTTTTCTGCAGGAGGAGAAAACCAAATCATAAAACATTGTTTCCCTAAACAAAGAAAATGAACCTCATGTCAGTGTTGATGTGAGTTTTGTGATGATGTTGGTTTGAAGGTCACAGACCTGGACGATCCCTCAGATGTGTCGTCACTCTGCATTTCCAGACCAGCGGAGGGTCCTGGGGCGTCTGCAGCTGAATCGGGGACAATGCTCTGGGGTTTACAGTCCAGTGTGGCAGCCTCTCTCTTCAGCAGGTCTGGAGCTCCAGAGACGGAGTGAATGATCTGAGCGATGGAGGCCAGGGGGGGGAGCTCTTTCAGGGTGGTGGAAGGTGACGAGGAGGTGGAGGAGGCCGGTTTGGGCAGAAGCGGTTTGAGACGCTGCGCTCGAGCTGAGTTGTTGAGGTTGGGGAGGGGGGTGGGGGGAGGGGTGGATCCAGGGGGGAGCTGGTAACAGCCGAGCTGGGGGTGAGGGTGGAGGGCGCCGCCCACCTTCTCGTCCTTGGACAGAGGAAAAGCGAGCTGCTGCTGCTCGATGCTGCTGCCAGTCTGCTCCGTCTTGATCTCCTTCTTCTCCGTGGGTGCTGCCTCTCTCCGCTGCCTCTTGCTGGGGATGGACAGGTCGATGGGCTGGTCGAGGGCGGAGCAATCGAAGGTCGGGGAGACGCTCTCCAGTTTGACCCCAGGAGACTCCACCTGGCTCCCTGTGCCACGACCTTTAGCAGAGAAGTCGAGAGGCTGGTCCAGTTCTGTAGGATAAACCACGTTCGCCACTTCCTCCACCTTCACAGCTTGGAGCATCTGGATCGGAGGTGGACTGATCCCGTTCAGCAGCATCTGATTCACCGGAGCAGCTCGAGCTGTGGCGACAGTAGCGACAGGTACAGCGGCCGGCTGAAGTGTGGCGATATGTTCCTCAATCTCCCTCTCCTGCACCTCAGGGTGCTGCTTCAGCAGGTGATGGATGCAGTTGCGTTTGGCCAGGAAGGCTGCGCCGCAGCGCCGGCACTCAAACGGCTTCTTCTGGCAGCCGTTATGTGTGCGCAGGTGGATCTGTAGCGCCCGGTAGGTCTTCAGGTCCTCGCCACAGAACCGGCACGTTGTCTCAGCTCCGGTGCAGCCCGTCTCCGTGTCTTGGGTGGGGGTGGTGATTGCTGCAATGTTTGCCGTCGTGGTGGAGGTGACGTACTTTATGTTCTTCTCAATGTCCTTCCTCGAGGTCTTGGCGTGTTTCTTCCTGAGGTGGCGCTCGCAGTTGGCTTTGACAGTGAAGGGATAATGACAGACCCGACAGACATACGGCCGTTCGCCGCTGTGGGTCCGCAAGTGACGGATCAGCGTAGCTTTGTCTGGAGCCACGTAGTCGCAGATGTTGCACTGGTGAGGAAGGATGCCGAGGTGAAAGCGCATGTGCGCCTGCAGGACGCCCGAGAAGGCGAACACCTGGTCGCAGAAGCGACAGGGGAAAGAGCCTTTAGCTGACCCGGCGTTGCCGTTGTTCCCCACTTTGGTTCCTGGCTTTCTATCGCTTAGCCCTGCCTCCTCATGTACAGCTGTGGTAGCAGCTGGCGGTGAATCAGACAACAGAGTGTGGGCGTCGCCCATGCACTCTGCATCCATCTGCCCTCCGCTCTCGGTGGAAGAGGAGGATGTGGAAGGCGTTTTGAAGAGGGTGGGAGGTGGAAGGCCCGGGCTGATGCAGCCCAGTGATGCCTGCTGGGAACTCTGGAGGGGTGGGGGAGTTGTCGCTGTGAGGCTGGAGCGAGGGGTGATGGGAGGTTTGGGCTTTAACGGGGGCATCGCCTTCTGAGCCTGGACTTGACCTGAGGGCAAAGAAACAGAGTCACAGACGTCCTACAGAGCTTTCAGTTTCTGATTCATTGATTGACGGACGAACATGAACCATCGTGAGCCAGCACCCACCTTGACCTCCAGTGAGTCCAGGAGCTTTGGCGAGAGGTGGGAGGGTCAGTCCCATCTGATTGGGTGCTGCAGTCGCCACTTTGAGGATCTGCTGGATGTCCGCCAGCTCCATGAGCCCGACTCCTCCCGCCTCGCTGGGTTTGGCACCTGATGAAGCAGCGCTGGCCGCTGCAGCGCCCCCATCGGTCTGCAGGAGGAAACCTGTCTGGAAGGGCTGCTTGGACAGCAGGCTGAGGGCGTCTTTCTGGGAGAGGCCCTGCAGCGGAATGCTGAGCGCCGCCAGACCCCCGACACTGAGCGGTAGAGTCAGCCCCAGACCTCCAGACAGGAAGGACGAGGCCGGCTCCTGCGGGAGGCTGGAGCACGGCGGCTCCACGTGGATCACCTTGATGCTGTCGAGATGGGCCTGGTGGATCTCATCGTCTGTGGGGCCAGACTTCACCTGAAAAAGAACATTTTTCCAGGGTTGAATTTCTCCTGATCGATATGAGCTTCACTAAAATCTGGTTTCAGTTCTGATGAGGATTTTTGGTCCGCTCCTGTTTTCATGAAGTCAGACATGCTGCGAGTACCTGAGAAGTTCTGTGGTGACAAATGTACATTTCATTTCCTAAGCTTACCGTAGACATGTGCTGAAGACCGAGCACTTCTAAGAAGCTGGTCTGCTTCGAGTGCAGACACTGACCCTCGGTCTCAACGCCATTTCCTGCTGCCCCGCCCTCCTTGACTTTCTCCACCTTTTCCTCTGAGTCGGTGGGGGAGTGGTTGTCATGGTGGGAGGTGGTTTTATGGAGGTCGAGGGCAGAGCGAAGGGGGAACGCCTTGTCGCAGCTGTCACAGACGAATCGGTGGAACTTACTTATACAGCGACGAAGGTTCGTCTCACACCAAACCTGGCGACAGAGAACAGGAAGATTAAAAAAACAGAACCTCAAAAGCCCAGCAGGCGTGTCTGAGAGGAGACGCAGTTACCTGAGCGATGTGAGCAAACTTCTTGCAGGAGAAGTCGATGAAGGCCAGGTCGTTGAACCCGGTGGGGATGGAGGGGTTGTTCTGGATGAAGGGGCGGCCGCTGGGGTCCTGAGGGAGGAGCTTATGAACCGCTGCGTTGTGACGCAACAAACCGCGGTGAGTTCGGAAAGAAAGGCAGCAGAAGTCACACCTACGAACAGGAAGGAAGAGTTTTTATTTATTCTGTCAAACTCTGAACGTCAGGAACCAGAAAACAAATCACATGATGATGAATCGGAGAGAAAATAATAAAACAAGCGTAAAGTTGAGTTTTCTTTACACATCAACAACAACAACTACAGACACAATATACACATATAATTAAACTGATTTGTTTGTTTGTTTGAGTTACAGATATAAAAGCAGCTGCTGAGGCTCCTCACAGGGATGAAAGAGGATCAATGCAACAACTGACTGAGTTGATCAAAGCAAAAGTAATCAGCACATTTTACTTCATAAAGAATTATAATCATTTCTCTTCTCTGTCATTGTGAATGAGTCCAGATGTTTTTCACAACTTTCTTAATTTATAGACTAAACGTTTAAGGGTGGAAATGATTTGTTTAATAGAACGTTTGTTTGTGACTGCTCTCTTTTTCTCTCTTTCTTTCTCTGTCCTCATTAATCTTGAATCCAGTTCCCCTCTCTTCCACCTCATCTGTTGCTGTGGCCACAAGGGGGAGACATTTCTCTGTGTTCATGGATCATTTGATGTTAGAATCCAGCTCAGAGAGAAAAGTGACGAAGACAGAAAAATAACTGAACGATCGATGAAACGTTTGTTTAAAGTTAAAACTTCAACACAACTCGTGTTCGCACATGTACAGAAGTAATGTGTGTGTATGTGTGTGTGTATGTGTGTGTGTGTGTGTGTGATAACCTGCTCTTGTTAAGCACTGAGAGGACAGCTGCTCAATGTCTGCCACAGTCACACACTCTTATCACATCCACGTGTGTGTGTGTGTGTGTGTGTGTGTGTGTGTGTGTTTAAGCTGTGTGTAATCCCCTCAGACAAGTTGTCAGAGGATTTTTGGTGGGAGGTGGGACAGGGGACTTCACACACTGTGGACCATATGTGGACCAGCACCCGTTAGACTCTCCTCCTCCATCCCTCCATCCCTTTGTTCTAAAGCTGTGCAATCAACCGGCAGCTCGAGTGTTTCTTAGTCAGTGTGGATGATGAATCTATGAATCTATTCATTGATCAAATGAGTTTGATTATTCTCTGATTATCAGAGTTTGATTATTCTCTGATTATCAGAGTTTGATTATTCTCTGATTATCAGAGTTTGATTCATCTCTGTGAGCAGATTCTTCCTGTGAATGAATCTGAAGCCTTTTGATTGATCTACGCTCATTAACAGACGGATGTGAGAAGTGGTGAGATGTTTGTTTGACTGGAGTCGGACAGGAAACAGATGAGCAGAGAACCCAGATATCACCTGTGTCCACCTGAAGGACCAGACTACGTTGTCCCCAGATGATAATTCAGAAAACATCAGATCCTCACAGGCTGAAAACTACAAACTGTTACCATGACGACTGATCACATCTTCACTCTGATTTTCATCTTTTCACTCAACAAATTCTAAATTAAATGAACTTGAGTGACGCCACAAATTAGGCACCTTCCATCCCTCCATCCCTCCATCCCCTCCCTCTCTCTCTCTACACCTCCGATCCTCTTAGCGACTGATTAAAGAGGATTTACAGCTAAATATTCCTGTTGCCTCCATAACGAGCTCAGCGCCGCCTGCTGCACTCCTCCATCCCTCCATCCTTCATTCATTCCCTTCCTTCACTTCTTTTGATTTCTTATTTCCCCTCTTTCATTCTGTCTTTTGTTTACTTTCTGCTTTTGTGCCGGTTCTTTCTTTCTCTTCTTTTTCTCTCTAATTTTTCCTTCTTTCTTTTTTTCCTTTCTTCTCTTTCTTTCTTCCCTTTACAGTTTAGAAGCAAGTTGTTCTTTTCTATCTCTCTTTCTGAATGAAAAAGCAACAGGATGAACTGTGTGAGTGTGTGTGTGTGTGTGTG